AAAAAAAAAAAAGACTGATATTAACATGGGTGAACTGTGATGGCACTTGGTATGTAAATAAGCCATTCACCAGAGAACAAATACTCCGTGGTTCCCCTTACAAGAGGTGTCTAGAAAAAGACAAATTCACAGACAGAGAAAGTAGATTAGTGGCAGCAGAGGCTGGGGGAGGGAGATTAGAGAGTTGCAACTTAATAAATACAGGGTTCCTATTTGGGATGATGGAGAAGTTTCTGAAATAGATTGTGGTGATGGTTGCCTAACACTGAGCATAATTGACACCACTGATCATTATACCCTTAAAAATAAGTTAAATGGGGTGGTGCCTGTGGCTCAAAAGGGTAGGGCACCAGTCCCATGTGCCGGAAGTGAGGGGTTCAAACCCAGCCTCTGCCAAAAAAAAAAAAAAACAACAATAATTTAAATGGTGAATTATACATTATGTGTACTTTATCACAATAAAAAAGTAGTATTGCTAAATATTAAATCATGTGAAACCAGACTTAAACTGCAGCAGGTTGGGGAGCAGAGAGGACAGGCCTTGGGTTTGATCCTGGCTCTGCCTTAGAGCAAACCTCCACATCCCCCTCTCCTCGTGTGCAGAACGGAGATGGTGGCAGAGCTGACCTCTCAGCACCATTCAGGACAAAGCAGGAAACACCTGCCACTCGCAGGTGAGGCCCACCCGACAGTCAGCCTTCAAAACCTGCTGGTCAAATACTGATTGACATTTAGATGAAAATATTATTTATAGATACCTTCTTTAGAAAAAATTTTTAACTCTGGAAAAATAGGCTAACTAACCCCCCAAAGGTCATTGTTAAAAGTTTCTAGAAGGCAATTTTGACCATCTTTAAACAAGTAGAGAAATACAAATTTATTTCAACATCATCTGTTATAGGAGAAAATCTTACCAAGAAATCCTCTGGGTGATATTGTTGGAGACAAAAAACCCCCAAACAAACAAACAAACCAACCACTAAAACACTTTTCCCATCAACTATAGCCTTTTGAGCAGTCTGCCCTTCCCCACTAAGCAGCCCACTCCTTGCCCCAGTTCCCAGAGTAGCGGGTTGGGACCTCAGGGTAGGGCGTGGGAGCCACATCTGTCTGCCTCCTGAGCTTTGGAGGGGAAGTGGGGAGAGTCTGGGAGACAGGAGCCCTCTGCCAATTTTTTCACCTCTATTTTATTCCATATTGTGGATTTAAAGGAACCTCTGGCAAAGTTCAGGAGGCTCTTGGCCACTGGCCACTCCTGATACTGGAAAGAGAATGCCCCATCCACTGGAAGGCTCTGTTGTCTTGTATTCCTCTACTTCAAGATCTACCCAGCCCATCACATGCAAGAAACAGCTCTGAGAGGGCTATGGAGCAAACAAAGACAAATTATTACAGATAAAGCTTCTACTCTCAAAAAAAAGGGCAAAGCAAGACACACCCACTAGAGCAGGGGTTCTCAACCTTCCTGTTGCCAAGCCCCTTTAATACAGTTCCTGTGGGTCGTGATCCACAGGTTGAGAACCACTGCACTAGAAGGTGGCCTCTAGAAGAGGGGGACTGTCAAGTCAAGCCCCTGAAAGTGGCCAGGAGATGTTTTTTCTGGGCCAACCCAACATTTCCTACAAAGCCAAGCATTCTCAAAGCCACCTCTCCCTGTGACAAGTGCTGCCACCAGGCCAGCACAGGTTGCTGCACAGGTGCACAGGTTGCTGCAGGACCCACTGGCCACACCCTAGTCCTGAGGGCAGCTGCCTCTGATCACCTGGCCACCTACCCTGCTCACTGCCAACCAGCCTGACCTCTTCTGAACACGGGGACAGACAGCCTTGAAGTTGAATAGATTAAAGCATTTTAGCCATGTTCCTACTTCCTTTGCCAAAGGTCAAACCTTGACTTTATAGTATTATAAGCATTAGCTTTTTAGTCTTTTTTCCTTATCATGACTATTCTCTGGGTTCCTGACAGAGGATCTGAAGCAATTTCAAAGGGCCTCTTTCTTTCAAATTGGGCAGAGGAAGCAGGTGATGGGAGGGGCATCTCACTGCACGTTCATCCACTTGCCTGGGTCCCACGCCCTCCTCACCACACACCCACGCACACACACAGATCTGTGCAGAGGCCAACACCACCAAGACAGTAGTAAGTCCCACCAGCATGGCACTCAAACCCAGCCTCTTAATAACGCCCTTCCTGAGGCTTGATAAGCACTCTGGGTGGACGGGGTGAGGCTCCCTTCTCTTTCCTGGGACTGTGTGTGTTAGCTGGGTAGAATATGCAGCCCTTCCCCTCCACTGGAAACGTCTCAGGGACACAGTACTCAGGGCCTCCTCCAAGGCGGCAGGGTTGTCTTGAGATTGGGGGTGGGTCATATTTTCTAAAGTGGCAAAGGATTGAGTCACACTCCTCAGGGTCACAGCTGGATTTACAGCTGTTTTTGGAAGTGACATTATGTAGTTTACCCACAGGACATGCTTCCTCAGGACCCACGAGGCAGCAGGGTTCTGAGATGGCCCCAAGATCCATATCACCCCTGGTGCACAGGCCTCAAAAGGCTCCCCTAAGTGAGGAGGATCCACAGACGGGGCACACCAGGAGCTGACCTGCAGGCAGCATGGCTGCACCACATCAGCCAGTAAATATGGGTCTTAGGTCAGAGACAGGGTGGTGGAGGGAGCACAGGAGGGTCACAGGGCCAGGGTGGGGGACACAGCCACAGCCATCAATCAGACCTTCCTCCACAAGGACCCCAATTCTTTGAGGCAAGAGAATCACCTAAGCCCAGGAGTTGGGGGTTGCTGTGAGCTGTGCGACGCTATGACACTCTACTGAGGGCTCTGAAGTGAGACTCTGGCTCTAAAAAAAAAAAGGACCCCAATTCTGTCCACATCCTGCACTAGCCTTCCTCAAAGTTCCCAGCCCTGGCTGGTACCTTGATGTCAGCCTAGTGAGACCTGAGCAGAGGACCCGGCCAACCCAGGCCTGGACTCCTGGCCCCTGGAAACTGTGAGATGACACATTTGTGTGGGTTTTGGTGGCTATCTTTGTAGGGATCTGTCATACAGCAATAGAAAATGAACACACATCATTTCCATTTCCTGCATAGAGGCCAGCAGCTTCTCCCTCTGCAGCAGACACATCTACCCCACCAGGCAGCCAGCACTTAGTTTCAGAACAGCCACTCCCAAGAAAAGACTGCCTCACAGGAGAAGAATGCACAGCACCAAGGCTTAAAACCCAAGTGAGTTTCTCTCTCCCCACCAAGTGATGGCTCAGCAGAAGGTAAGAATGAGGTATGAAAACAGGGGAACCCTGAAAGTGTGCAGCCTCGGCACACAGGCTATTTTACAAATGTTACAAAGAGGGCCCACGGTTACCCCACTGGGATGATAGGAGGCTTCCCATCAGCCACAATTCCTGTTCAGCAGAGGCCCTTAGTGGGTAAGATGTGGCTCCTCTGAGGCCAAATAACAAAAGAGACAGTGATAAAAAATGTCAAAAAAAGGCGGAGAACTTACATCTTTTGTATTAACCTAGGAGTTGAAACACATTCTTCTTAGTGAAGTACCACAAGAATGGAAAACCAAGTATCCAGAGTACTCCATGCTAATAGGAAGCCAGCAGACCAGCAGACCAGAGGTTCTCAACTATGGGTCGAGACCCACAGGAACTGTA